GTTTTCAAACAAAAACAACAGAAATTGCAGGTACTTGTGACCCTTCGACAATCAATTTAACCCCACAGTGAAAAAAAAGTGGGAAAAAACTGAAACCAACTGGACGTGTTCCAGTTAAAGCACCCAAAACATTTCTTAAGACGTCTACTGAATCGGATAAAACAACACCTCACTTTGAGAATTCCAAAATGTATTTGTACATACTGCAAATGAATCATTCCTCTGCTGTAGGTAAAATCTTCTCTACTCAAGTCTCAGTAGAAGACCTCTTGTCCTTTGTGGTTTTCAAACAACAACAACAGCAGTTGCAGGTACTTGTGACCCTTCGACAGACAATTTACCCCCACCGTGAAAAAAAGCAGAAAAAAAATTAAACCAACTGTACGTGTTCCAGTTAAATCACCCACAACATTTCTTAAAATGTCTACCTCCACCGTGAAAAAAAGCAGAAAAAAATTAAACCAACTGTACGTGTTCCACCCACAACATTTCTTAAAACGTCTACTTAATTGGATAAAACAACAACTCACTTTGATAATTTCATAAATATATTTTCTACTTACTCCAAAGGAATCATCTAGTGAATCAGTCGAAGACCTCTTGTCCTTTGTGGTTTTCAAACAACAACAACAGAAATTGCAGGTACTTGTGACCCTCCACAGACAATTTAACCCCACTGTGAAAAAAAAGTGGAAAAAAACTTTGTGGTTTTCAAACAACAACAACAGAAATTGCAGGTACTTGTGACCCTTCGACAATCAATTTAACCCCACAGTGAAAAAAAAGTGGGAAAAAACTTAAACCAACTGGACGTGTTCCAGTTAAAGCACCCAAAACATTTCTTAAAACGTCTACTGAATTACAGGAAACAACAACTCACTTTGATAATTCCATAAATGTATTTGTACATACTGCAAATGAATCATTCCTCTGCTGTAGGTAAAATCTCCTCTACTCAAGTCTCAGTAGAAGACCTCTGATCCTTTGTGGTTTTCAAACAAAAGAAATTGCAGATAGTTGTGACCCTTCGATAGAGAATTTACCCCCACCGTAAAAAAAAACGAAGAAAAAAAATGAAACCAACTGTACGGGTTCCTGCCATTCAGCTGTGTAGCTGCAATTGAAGGTAGCGTGGCCGAGCGGTCTAAGGCACTGGATTTAGGCTCCAGTCTCTTTGGAGGCGTGGGTTCAAATCCCACCGCTGGCAAATATTGCTTTTTTTATTGATTTGTGCATTATTCGTAAAGGCCAAATTACCCATTTGTCAACTCATATGATCACTGAACATTGAGTCACGTTCATGGCTCTTTTCGTCTGGGAATTAAAATGGGCAATAACGTTGCTTTTTTTTATTTCAAAGTGGCAAGTAAAATTTGCCATGCATGAACAGCTGTTAATCAAGCCAATAATAAATCTTATAGCAAAGAACATCTCGCTTCAGCTTTAAAGCACCCAAAACATTTCTTAAGACGTCTACAGAATCGGATAAAACAACACCTCACTTTGAGAATTCCAAAATGTATTTGTACTTACTGCAAAGGAATCATTCCTCTGCTGTAGGTAAAATCTCCTCTACTCAAGTCTCAGTAGAAGACCTCTTGTCCTTTGTGGTTTTCAAACAACAACAACAGCAATTGCAGGTACTTGTGACCCTCCGACAGACAATTTACCCCCACCGTGAAAAAAAGCAGAAAAAAAATTAAACCAACTGTACGTGTTCCAGTTAAATCACCCACAACATTTCTTAAAATGTCTACCTCCACCATGAAAAAAAGCAGAAAAAAAATTAAACCAACTGTACGTGTTCCACCCACAACATTTCTTAAAACGTCTACTTAATTGGATAAAACAACAACTCACTTTGATAATTTCATAAATGTATTTTCTACTTACTCCAAAGGAATCATCTAGTGAATCAGTCGAAGACCTCTTTTCCTTTGTGGTTTTCAAACAACAACAACAGCAATTGCAGGTACTTGTGACCCTTCGACAGACAATTTACCCCCACCGTGAAAAAAAGCAGAAAAAAAATTAAACCAACTGTACGTGTTCCAGTTAAATCCCCCACAACATTTCTTAAAATGTCTACCTCCACCGTGAAAAAAAGCAGAAAAAAAATTAAACCAACTGTACGTGTTCCACCCACAACATTTCTTAAAACGTCTACTTAATTGGATAAAACAACAACTCAATTTGATAATTTCATAAATGTATTTTCTACTTACTCCAAAGGAATCATCTAGTGAATCAGTCGAAGACCTCTTGTCCTTTGTGGTTTTCAAACAACAACAACAGAAATTGCAGGTACTTGTGACCCTTCGACAATCAATTTAACCCCACAGTGAAAAAAAAGTGGGAAAAAACTGAAACCAACTGGACGTGTTCCAGTTAAAGCACCCAAAACTTTTCTTAAACCGTCTACTGAATTACAGGAAACAACAACTCACTTTGATAATTCCATAAATGTATTTGTACATACTGCAAATGAATCATTCCTCTGCTGTAGGTAAAATCTCCTCTACTCAAGTCTCAGTAGAAGACCTCTGGTCCTTTGTGGTTTTCAAACAAAAGAAATTGCAGATAGTTGTGACTCTTCGATAGAGAATTTACCCCCACCGTAAAAAAAAAAGCAGAAAAAAAATGAAACCAACTGTACGGGTTCCTGCCATTCAGCTGTGTAGCTGCAATCGAAGGTAGCGTGGCCGAGCGGTCTAAGGCGCTGGATTTAGGCTCCAGTCTCTTTGGAGCCGTGGGTTCAAATCCCACCGCTGCCAAATATAGCTTTTTTATTGAATTGTGCATTATTCGTAAAGGCCAAATTACCCATTTGTCAACTCATATGATCACTGAACATTGAGTCACGTTCATGGCTCTTTTCGTCTGGGAATTAAAATGGGCAATAACGTTGCTTTTTTTTATTTCAAAGTGGCAAGTAAAATTTGCCATGCATGAACATCTGTTAATCAAGCCAATAATAAATCTTATAGCAAAGAACATCTCGCTTCAGCTTTAAAGCACCCAAAACATTTCTTAAGACGTCTACTGAATCGGATAAAACAACACCTCACTTTGAGAATTCCAAAATGTATTTGTACTTACTGCAAAGGAATCATTCCTCTGCTGTAGGTAAAATCTCCTCTACTCAAGTCTCAGTAGAAGACCTCTTGTCCTTTGTTGTTTTCAAACAACAACAACAGCAATTGCAGGTACTTGTGACCCTTCGACAGACAATTTACCCCCACCGTGAAAAAAAGCAGAAAAAAAATTAAACCAACTGTACGTGTTCCAGTTAAAATACCCACAACATTTCTTAAAATGTCTACCTCCACCGTGAAAAAAAGCAGAAAAAAAATTAAACCAACTGTACGTGTTCCACCCACAACATTTCTTAAAACGTCTACTTAATTGGATAAAACAACAACTCACTTTGATAATTTCATAAATGTATTTTCTACTTACTCCAAAGGAATCATCTAGTGAATCAGTTGAAGACCTCTTGTCCTTTGTGGTTTTCAAACAACAACAACAGAAATTGCAGGTACTTGTGACCCTAGACAGACAATTTAACCCCACTGTGAAAAAAAAGTGGAAAAAAACTTTGTGGTTTTCAAACAACAACAACAGAAATTGCAGGTACTTGTGACCCTTCGACAATCAATTTAACCCCACAGTGAAAAAAAAGTGGGAAAAAACTGAAACCAACTGGACGTGTTCCAGTTAAAGCACCCAAAACATTTCTTAAAACGTCTACTGAATTACAGGAAACAACAACTCACTTTGATAATTCCATAAATGTATTTGTACATACTGCAAATGAATCATTCCTCTGCTGTAGGTAAAATCTCCTCTACTCAAGTCTCAGTAGAAGACCTCTTGTCCTTTGTGGTTTTCAAACAACAACAACAGCAATTGCAGGTACTTGTGACCCTTCGACAGACAATTTACCCCCACCGTGAAAAAAAGCAGAAAAAAAATTAAACCAACTGTACGTGTTCCAGTTAAATCACCCACAACATTTCTTAAAATGTCTACCTCCACCGTGAAAAAAAGCAGAAAAAAAATTAAACCAACTGTACGTGTTCCAGTTAAATCACCCACAACATTTCTTAAAATGTCTACCTCCACTGTGAAAAAAAGCAGAAAAAAAATTAAACCAACTGTACGTGTTCCAGTTAAATCACCCACAACATTTCTTAAAATGTCTACTTCCACCGTGAAAAAAAGCAGAAAAAAAATTAAACCAACTGTACGTGTTCCAGTTAAATTACCCACAACATTTCTTAAAATGTCTACCTCCACCGTGAAAAAAAGCAGAAAAAAAATTAAACCAACTGTACGTGTTCCAATTAAATCACCCACAACATTTCTTAAAACGTCTACTTAATTGGATAAAACAACAACTCACTTTGATAATTTCATAAATGTATTTTCTACTTACTCCAAAGGAATCATCTAGAGAATAAGTCGAAGACCTCTTGTCCTTTGTGGTTTTCAAACAACAACAACAGAAATTGCAGGTACTTGTGACCCTCGACAGACAATTTAACCCCACTGTGAAAAAAAAGTGGAAAAAAACTTTGTGGTTTTCAAACAACAACAACAGAAATTGCAGGTACTTGTGACCCTTCGACAATCAATTTAACCCCACAGTGAAAAAAAAGTGGGAAAAAACTGAAACCAACTGGACGTGTTCCAGTTAAAGCACCCAAAACATTTCTTAAAACGTCTACTGAATTACAGGAAACAACAACTCACTTTGATAATTCCATAAATGTATTTGTACATACTGCAAATGAATCATTCCTCTGCTGTAGGTAAAATCTCCTCTACTCAAGTCTCAGTAGAAGACCTCTGGTCCTTTGTGGTTTTCAAACAAAAGAAATTGCATATAGTTGTGACCCTTCGATAGAGAATGTACCCCCACCGTAAAAAAAAAAGCAGAAAAAAAATGAAACCAACTGTACGGGTTCCTGCCATTCAGCTGTGTAGCTGCAGTCGAAGGTAGCGTGGCCGAGCGGTCTAAGACGCTGGATTTAGGCTCCAGTCTCTTTGGAGGCGTGGGAAGACGCTGGATTTAGGCTCCAGTCTCTTTGGAGGCATGGGTTCAAATCACACCGCTGCCAAATATTGCTTTTTTTTTTAATTGTGCATTATTCGTAAAGGCCAAATTACCCATTTGTCAACTCATATGATCACTGAAAATTGAGTCACGTTCATGGCTCTTTTCGTCTGGGAATTAAAATGGGCAATAACGTTGCTTTTTTTTATTTCAAAGTGGCAAGTAAAATTTGCCATGCATGAACAGCTGTTAATCAAGCCAATAATAAATCTTATAGCAAAGAACATCTCGCTTCAGCTTTAAAGCACCCAAAACATTTCTTAAGACGTCTACTGAATCGGATAAAACAACACCTCACTTTGAGAATTCCAAAATGTATTTGTACTTACTGCAAAGGAATCATTCCTCTGCTGTAGGTAAAATCTCCTCTACTCAAGTCTCAGTAGAAGACCTCTTGTCCTTTGTGGTTTTCAAACAACAACAACAGCAATTGCAGGTACTTGTGACCCTTCGACAGACAATTTACCCCCACCGTGAAAAAAAGCAGAAAAAAAATTAAACCAACTGTACGTGTTCCAGTTAAATCACCCACAACATTTCTTAAAATGTCTACCTCCACCGTGAAAAAAGCAGAAAAAAAATTAAACCAACTGTACGTGTTCCAATTAAATCACCCACAACATTTCTTAAAACGTCTACTTAATTGGATAAAACAACAACTCACTTTGATAATTTCATAAATGTATTTTCTACTTACTCCAAAGGAATCATCTAGTGAATCAGTCGAAGACCTCTTGTCCTTTGTGGTTTTCAAACAACAACAACAGAAATTGCAGGTACTTGTGACCCTCGACAGACAATTTAACCCCACTGTGAAAAAAAAGTGGAAAAAAACTTTGTGGTTTTCAAACAACAACAACAGAAATTGCAGGTACTTGTGACCCTTCGACAATCAATTTAACCCCACAGTGAAAAAAAAGTGGGAAAAAACTGAAACCAACTGGACGTGTTCCAGTTAAAGCACCCAAAACATTTCTTAAAACGTCTACTGAATTACAGGAAACAACAACTCACTTTGATAATTCCATAAATGTATTTGTACATACTGCAAATGAATCATTCCTCTGCTGTAGGTAAAATCTCCTCTACTCAAGTCTCAGTAGAAGACCTCTGGTCCTTTGTGGTTTTCAAACAAAAGAAATTGCAGATAGTTGTGACCCTTCGATAGAGAATTTACCCCCACCGTAAAAAAAAAAGCAGAAAAAAAATGAAACCAACTGTACGGGTTCCTGCCATTCAGCTGTGTAGCTGCAATCAAGGTAGCGTGGCCGAGCGGTCTAAGGCGCTGGATTTAGGCTCCAGTCTCTTTGGAGGCGTGGGTTCAAATCCCACCGCTGCCAAATATTGCTTTTTTTATTGAATTGTGCATTATTCGTAAAGGCCAAATTACCCATTTGTCAACTCATATGATCACTGAAAATTGAGTCACGTTCATGGCTCTTTTTGTCTGGGAATTAAAATGGGCAATAACGTTGCTTTTTTTTATTTCAAAGTGGCAAGTAAAATTTGCCATGCATGAACAGCTGTTAATCAAGCCAATAATAAATCTTATAGCAAAGAACATCTTGCTTCAGCTTTAAAGCACCCAAAACATTTCTTAAGACGTCTACTGAATCGGATAAAACAACACCTCACTTTGAGAATTCCAAAATGTATTTGTACTTACTGCAAAGGAATCATTCCTCTGCTGTAGGTAAAATCTCCTCTACTCAAGTCTCAGTAGAAGACCTCTTGTCCTTTGTGGTTTTCAAACAACAACAACAGCAATTGCAGGTACTTGTGACCCTTCGACAGACAATTTACCCCCACCGTGAAAAAAAGCAGAAAAAAAATTAAACCAACTGTACGTGTTCCAGTTAAATCACCCACAACATTTCTTAAAATGTCTACCTCCACCGTGAAAAAAAGCAGAAAAAAAAATTAAAACCAACTGTACGTGTTCCAGTTAAATCACCCACAACATTTCTTATAACGTCTACTTAATTGGATAAAACAACAACTCACTTTGATAATTTCATAAATGTATTTTCTACTTACTCCAAAGGAATCATCTAGTGAATCAGTCGAAGACCTCTTGTCCTTTGTGGTTTTCAAACAACAACAACAGAAATTGCAGGTACTTGTGACCCTCGACAGACAATTTAACCCCACCATGAAAAAAAAGTGGAAAAAAACTTTGTGGTTTTCAAACAACAACAGAAATTGCAGGTACTTGTGACCCTTCGACAGACAATTTAACCCCACAGTGAAAAAAAAGTAGGAAAAAACTGAAACCAACTGGACGTGTTCCAGTTAAAGCACCCAAAACATTTCTTAAAACGTCTACTGAATTACAGGAAACAACAACTCACTTTGATAATTCCATAAATGTATTTGTACATACTGCAAATGAATCATTCCTCTGCTGTAGGTAAAATCTCCTCTACTCAAGTCTCAGTAGAAGACCTCTGGTCCTTTGTGGTTTTCAAACAAAAGAAATCGCAGATAGTTGTGACCCTTCGATAGAGAATTTACCCCCACCGTAAAAAAAAAGCAGAAAAAAAATGAAACCAACTGTACGGGTTCCTGCCATTCAGCTGTGTAGCTGCAATCGAATGTAGCGTGGCCGAGCGGTCTAAGGCGCTGGATTTAGGCTCCAGTCTCTTTGGAGGCGTGGGTTCAATCCCACCGCTGCCAAATATTGCTTTTTTTATTGAATTGTGCATTATTCGTAAAGGCCAAATTACCCATTTGTCAACTCATATGATCACTGAACATTGAGTCACGTTCATGGCTCTTTTCGTCTGGGAATTAAAATGGGCAATAACGTTGCTTTTTTTCATTTCAAAGTGGCAAGTAAAATTTGCCATGCATGAACAGCTGTTAATCAAGCCAATAATAAATCTTATAGCAAAGAACATCTCGCTTCAGCTTTAAAGCACCCAAAACATTTCTTAAGACGTCTACTGAATCGGATAAAACAACACCTCACTTTGAGAATTCCAAAATGTATTTGTACTTACTGCAAAGGAATCATTGTAGGTAAAATCTCCTCTACTCAAGTCTCAGTAGAAGACCTCTTGTCCTTTGTGGTTTTCAAACAACAACAACAGCAATTGCAGGTACTTGTGACCCTTCGACAGACAATGTACCCCCACCGTGAAAAAAAGCAGAAAAAAAATTAAACCAACTGTACGTGTTCCAGTTAAATCACCCACAACATTTCTTAAAATGTCTACCTCCACCGTGAAAAAAAGCAGAAAAAAAATTAAACCAACTGTACGTGTTCCACTCACAACATTTCTTAAAACGTCTACTTAATTGGATAAAACAACAACTCACTTTGATAATTTCATAAATGTATTTTCTACTTACTCCAAAGGAATCATCTAGTGAATCAGTCGAAGACCTCTTGTCCTTTGTGGTTTTCAAACAACAATAACAGAAATTGCAGGTACTTGTGACCCTCGACAGACAATTTAACCCCACTGTGAAAAAAAAGTGGAAAAAAACTTTGTGGTTTTCAAACAACAACAACAGAAATTGCAGGTACTTGTGACCATTCGACAATCAATTTAACCCCACAGTGAAAAAAAAGTGGGAAAAAACTGAAACCAACTGGACGTGTTCCAGTTAAAGCACCCAAAACATTTCTTAAAACGTCTTCTGAATTACAGGAAACAACAACACACCTTGATAATTCCATAAATTCCATAACAGCAATTGCAGGTACTTGTGACCCTTCAACAGACAATTTACCCCCACCGTGAAAAAAAGCAGAAAAAAAATTAAACCAACTGTACGTGTTCCACCCACAACATTTCTTAAAACGTCTACTTAATTGGATAAAACAACAACTCACTTTGATAATTTCATAAATGTATTTTCTACTTACTCCAAAGGAATCATCTAGTGAATCAGTTGAAGACCTCTTGTCCTTTGTGGTTTTCAAACAACAACAACAGAAATTGCAGGTACTTGTGAACCTCGACAGACAATTTAACCCCACTGTGAAAAAAAAGTGGAAAAAAACTTTGTGGTTTTCAAACAACAACAACAGAAATTGCAGGTACTTGTGACCCTTCGACAATCAATTTAACCCCACAGTGAAAAAAAAGTGGGAAAAAACTGAAACCAACTGGACGTGTTCCAGTTAAAGCACCCAAAACATTTCTTAAAACGTCTACTGAATTACAGGAAACAACAACTCACTTTGATAATTCCATAAATGTATTTGTACATACTGCAAATGAATCATTCCTCTGCTGTAGGTAAAATCTCCTCTACTCAAGTCTCAGTAGAAGACCTCTGGTCCTTTGTGGTTTTCAAACAAAAGAAATTGCAGATAGTTGTGACTCTTCGATAGAGAATTTACCCCCACCGTAAAAAAAAAAGCAGAAAAAAAATGAAACCAACTGTACGGGTTCCTGCCATTCAGCTGTGTAGCTGCAATCGAAGGTAGCGTGGCCAAGCGGTCTAAGGCGCTGGATTTAGGCTCCAGTCTCTTTGGAGGCGTGGGTTCAAATCCCACCGCTGCCAAATATTGCTTTTTTTATTGAATTGTGCATTATTCGTAAAGGCCAAATTACCCATTTGTCAACTCATATGATCACTGAACATTGAGTCACGTTCATGGCTCTTTTCGTCTGGGTATTAAAATGGGCAATAACGTTGCTTTTTTTTATTTCAAAGTGGCAAGTAAAATTTGCCATGCATGAACAGCTGTTAATCAAGCCAATAATAAATCTTATAGCAAAGAACATCTCGCTTCAGCTTTAAAGCACCCAAAACATTTCTTAAGACGTCTACTGAATCGGATAAAACAACACCTCACTTTGAGAATTCCAAAATGTATTTGTACTTACTGCAAAGGAATCATTCCTCTGTTGTAGGTAAAATCTCCTCTACTCAAGTCTCAGTAGAAGACCTCTTGTCCTTTGTGGTTTTCAAACAACAACAACAGCAATTGCAGGTACTTGTGACCCTTCGACAGACAATTTACCCCCACCGTGAAAAAAAGCAGAA